CATTCTAATGTAATATAATATTTGCAGATGGATAATATTCCGGGTAAATTAATCCCGCATGGTTCAAGGCGTGACTTTTGTTCATCCGGTTCACGGAGAATTAAACTTTTTCTTTATTTATTATATTTACTTTTATTAAATTTATATTTTATATTTTACATTTATCCGAAAGAAGAACAGCATTTTTATTACACAGAAATGAAGTTTCCAGTAGATTTTCCGTAAAGTCAGCAAGGAATTAAGCGATAAATACACGAAAGAAGGGAAGAAGAATCGCGTTCGTTGTTATTCGCATAACGGATAACGAGGATTGTTTGCTTTCCAGATGGGCTACGCGAACATCGATCAGAAGGGATCAGGACTCCATCTTCGAACATTCTCCCGCGCATTCATCATCGACGATGGCGCGGAGAGGTTCGTCTTCGTCAGCGTGGACAGCGCGATGATAGGAAACGGCGTTCGCCAATCGGTAAATCCTTGGAAAATTCACCTCCTCGATTTTTCAATTTAATAGAAATCTTTGGAACACGATTACCGTTAAATCTATCCTATATCGTTCGCCAACTGAGTCTCGTTCAGATTAATCTAGTTTAATTATACGATTTCTTATCCGTTTTTTCTTTTTCTCAACGTCAATCGAAGATCACCAGATCGATAAAGTGAAGCAATTAATTTTAGATGAAGATTAGTGATAATTTTGGGAAGATAGTAATCTAGTACTTACTATTATTATTGCGATAGCGTAGAAACGCAGAATCCCAAAATTCCAGATGTCTGTTATTGAGATTCAAAATAGACTAGCATAATTAATAATTCAAATAACATGAAAAATTGCAACCCGAACAAGTAGAATGGCAAAATTCAAGATTTTTAGTTTTCAATCCTCAATTGTAATTAAAGTAATACAGAAAATTATAATTTTGAAAAGTGGAATACTAAAATTTCAAATTTTTATTCTTCAATCGCCCAATTGTAATTGCAATTATAAACAGTGGAATACCAAAATTCAAAAATTGTATTTTTCTGATTAGTGAATTTGAAGGAAAGTGCCCAAGAATGGATAAAAATTACAGAAAAATATTACGCACGAGAGCACAAGATCTTTAACAAGATTTATTTATTGCAACAGGTACTGGAGGAGCTTCACAAGCTGTATGGCAACATGTACACGGAAAAGAACGTGATGATCAGTGGCACGCATTCGCATTCCACACCAGGTGGATTCATGCTAGACATGCTCTTTGATATCACCACGTTTGGCTTTGTTAAACAGACATTCGACGCTATGGTCCATGGAATAACGCAGGTAATTATGAAAATTACAAAATGAAACAGAAAGAAGTAATTTTCTCGCTCGTTTCTCACTCATTTTTGAACATTTTTTGCGCTGCTGATTAATCAATTCAAAAAATACTACTTACCAAAAGTTTAGGATCAGCAGATATGTAGATTTGGGTAGTAAAAGAGAACATTTCAATTCTTGACGTGAAATTTATAAAAATTTTCATTTCTAACATTCTTCTGAAAATTCTTGCATAATCGCGTCAAATTTTTGGTCGACAGGTGTATATTTCGAACTTCAGGTATATTTCTTTCTATTCATACGGAATTTATTTCATATTCTAGTGGAATTTTTATGTATGGAATTTATTATTTTTATCTATGGAAATTATTAACTGTTTTATTTCATTATTTAAATTGAACATTTTCCAGAGTATCCAACGTGCGCACAATTCAATGGTGCCAGGTCGAATCTTCATCGCTCATGGAGAAATTCTTGGCGCGAATATCAACAGGAGCCCTGCGGCATACCTCAATAATCCTCAAGCAGAGAGAAACAAGTAAGTACCGTAGTATTTTATCGATTTTATTCGATTTTTCACTAAACTGAAAAAATTGGTTTTCTGATTCTCAGGTACAAGTACAATGTTGATAAAACTCTAACGCAAATGAAGTTCATCGCAGCAGACGATAAACCTTTAGGTGTAATTAATTGGTTCCCGGTGCATCCAACTAGTATGAATAATACTAATCATTTAGTATCTAGCGATAACGTGGGCTATGCATCGATTCTTTTCGAGAAGGCCATGAACAAGAATTCGTTGATTGGCAAGGTGAGACGTTTTTTATTCATTATTGAACGGATAAGTAATTTCTGTGCAATGCTGACAAACTATTTAGATACTTATTAATTAATATTCAATATTAAGATAGATGCGTGTCAATTAAACCATCGTCGATTAATTGATAAATCAGTCTCGTTAAATGTCTCAAAATATATATTATGATTAGCCTCACAGTCATGAATTTGACTTGGTTGACTGGTTCACTCATTCGATTCGTTCTCTCTCTTTCTCTCTCTCTTCCATTCCCTCGTACTCTACTAACTTATCACTCTACTTATTACCCATTAATTGTTACCCCTCTCTTATACTTTAATATTCTCTTTGGTGTTCTCAGCCACTCTCTCCTTTTTCTTTTCTTTTCTTTTTCAGCTTCTCGAGCCACTCTACAATCCTTCTGTCCTGTCTCCCACTCACTACGTCTTCCATCCTGATATCCCTTTCGGTTTCTCTGCAGTCCCTTGTTAAATGTTCCAGATTTCCGAATCTATCACCACACAAGTCGCGTCTCCTTCCTTCCTCCTCTTCCCAGTACTTGTTCCAGTTTTCTAAATTCCCGCATCTCGCTTGGGCTATTAATTTCTGGCCTCTTCCTTCTATATTATGATTAGTATCTAGTAATGAATGGTTTGACGGGAAGAATGAAATTTTGAAAACTTAAAAACCAACATTTTTGTTCAGTTTGTATTTGCAGAATCGTTTAATTATTTTTTAAAAATATCTTTTGAGCTAGGAAGACAAATGTGTAATTGTTTCAAATTTTTTAAACGTCAATGTAAAATATTTCTAGCTATGATAGAAATCGTTTATAATTATCGACACAAATGTGTCATTTTCGTTTCACAGTCCATAGAAGAATTGTTACCGTAAAAGAAAATTGGTGAATTTCCCAAAATTTACATTTATAACGAAATATTCTGCAGAATGAATGAAAAGTCTGGTGAAATTGTTAAACAGCTCTAGTCAAATTGAACGATCACGAATTTTGTAAATTATGTGAGTGTGATTTATGGTTACGTGGGAGACTTGAGAAGGATTGTAACGGGTGTTCGTTGAAATTAGGGTCCATTCGTGGCAGCCGTCGCGTCCACCAACCTTGGCGATGTTTCGCCGAACACTCGTGGCCCAAAGTGCGAATTTTCTGGGAGCAACTGCTCTGAACATTACACTTGCCCTGGGAAAAAGGAGAGATGCTTCGCCTCTGGTCCAGGAAGAGACATGTTCGAGAGCACCAGCATCATCGCCAACAAGATCTTCAAGGAATCGTGGGTGAGTGATTTTTGCATACTTTCTCCTAACTTTGGTTAGAAAAATTCAAAATTTTTTCAGTGTCAAGAGTGACAATCAAAAATTAGAATAATTTTTTTTCGAATTTTTATGGACTTGGAATAGCATTGATACAGATAAAATTGTTTCCTTTTGAAAACACCTCCTGGTTTTAGTGTCATACTGAAAATGATCGTAAAGAATAGCAATTCAAAGTTGTAAGAGCTTAAGAAATCATTTCATAATTTATTTGAATTTTTCAATATTATTTCACAATTTATTTAAATTTCTTAATATTAACGGAAACAAAAGTTGAGTGTTACAAATGAAATATTTAATGTTAAAAATTAGTAATATTCAAAATTTAATAATCTACGATTGTAGTATTGAGAATTCATAGATAAAGAAATGGCGCGTAGCATAAAAAGAGCGTTCAAATCCATCTGCAAGGGAACGAAACGTTTCGAAATAGAGATTAAATCTGATGAATCGTCGAGTACTTAATTCGTCTCTGAAATATTTCCAAGAAACAATGCTATTCCGTTTGATTTATCTCCATTGTGGAAACGAATGAAAAGTTTCGAAACAGCGGGAAAAAAAAGAAAGAAACGACGTATTCTATTCCAAGAGCAACAGACTTATGTATGTATCTTCGCTTAAACATGAATGAAGCGCTTGCGAAACGAATTGTTGACAGTTGAATTTGCAAACATGCGAAACGTCGTAAAACAATTTGTAGAGTAAACAATACGCTTGACGAGTCTATCCATTCGAAGTAAATGAATTCGTTAGGATGCGTGTAGTCGGATGCGTGCGATCGACAGTCGGTCTATATTGTGGTCCATTTAACCATTTATACTGAGAATCGATGTTTATACAGTTTTAACATTTATTTGAGAATTTTAAGCTTAAGGATTTCTAATTTGGGAAATCTAAACTTTGAGATCTTTTAATTTAGAAATTTCAAACTTTGAGATCTCTAATTTGAGAATTCTAAGCTTTGAGATTTCTAATTGTGAGAATTCTGAGTTTTGAGATCTCTACTTTGGGAAATCTAAGCTTCAAGATTCCTAATTTGGGAAATCTATGCTTTGAGATATTTTAATTTAGAAATTTGAAACTTTAAGATCCCTACTTTGGGAAATCTAAGCTTCAAGATTCCTAATTTGGGAAATCTATGCTTTGAGATCTCTAATTTGGGAAATCTAAACTTTGAGATCTTTTACTTTAGGAATTTGAAACTTTCAGATCTCTAATTTGGGAAATCTAAGCTTTGAGATTTCTAATTGTGAGAATTCTAAGCTTTGAGATCTCTAATTTGAGAAATCTAAGCTTTAAGATCCCTAATTTGGGAAATCTAAACTTTGACATCCCTAATTTTGGAAATCTATGCTTTGAGATATTTTAATTTAGAAATTTGAAACTTTGAGATCTCTAATTTGAGAATTCTAAGCTTTGAGATTTCTAATTGTGAGAATTCTAAGCTTTGAGATCTCTAATTTGAGAAATCTAAGCTTTAAGATCCCTAATTTGGGAAATCTAAACTTTGACATCCCTAATTTTGGAAATCTATGCTTTGAGATATTTTAATTTAGAAATTTGAAACTTTAAGATCTCTAATTGTGAGAATTCTAAGCTTTGAGATCCTTAATTTGAGAAATCTAAGCTTTGAGATCCCTAATTTGGGAAATTTAAGCTTTGAGATCTTTTAATTTAGAAATTTCAAACTCTCTAATTCGATCTCTAATTCGAGAATTCTAAGCTTTGGGATCTCTAATCCAGCAATTCTAGCCTTTGTGATTTCCAAGTTAAACATTGTAAGCTCTTCAAATCGTACTTAAAAAATTCTACGCTTCGTAATCTCTGCTTAGAAAAATTCCAGCTCTTAAAATCCCCAATAAAAAAATGTCGAACTTCTAAATTACCAATTTCAAAATAAAATTACAACTACCAAATTTCCCAAACTCAATTTCTACTCCTGAACCCCTAATTTCACATCTAATCAACTCAACTTTTAATCTCTTCAAAAAATCACCTTAAATCTTCTCTCCACCAGCACCGATCGCTATCATCCCCAAAATAAATTGAAACAAACAAATACCCGAACCTCTTCGCTATCATTTAACTCGTTCGAAAGAACCCTTTACACGTCTCCGTTGAATTTCCACGGGAAAAAAACATTCCCGTGGCCTCCGTTCAAACACATTTCCCATTACGATCAGTCGAATTACAATAAAATCGCATGATACCTGTTGAAAATAATGAGAAACGTAGAGAAGAACGTCGAAAGGTTACAAGGTTACCGAGTTTCCTCTGAACGCACGCAAATCGATAAAAACGAACGATTTACCAGAAACACTGTGCAGAAAAAAATGCAACAAAACAAATGCAGATACAAATTGCTGTGATAAACGAAAAAAAGAAAAAAAAGAAAACAGGAGAGTAACATGAGAGGATTTCTAATTAAGTTCGAAGCAGTTCCAGCACTTCGTACACTTCCGGCTGACAAAATACCGGTAATTAGAATACTACTGTTCTCTTGATGAATAATATCACAGTCAACGGTGTAAAAAAAAAAGGCACAGGTACACTCGCCTAGTTACACAGATGGAAATATGGTGAGTAATAAAAAAAAATCACGGGCACGAGGAAGGCGAGATAGCGATCTGAGCGGCGAAGAAAATGCGCTGCACTCGGGAGAGCGCATAATGCAGAGGATGCGAGATTAATTAGAAATGAAATAAACAACCGAGGTGTTGATGGTTTAGATGGAACATCTTTCTCGGTGACGTTCGTAATTTTCTTCTTTTTCTTCTTTATTCCAGTTTCTGAGAAAATTTGTTTCCAAGAAATTTTTATCCATTTACGCGAGAGAGATTAATATCGAGAGCAATTTGTTCGACCGACGAGAATTTTGCGACAGAAGTGTAGCTTTGGGTGAATTTTTCGTCGATTTGGAAAATCAGGGAAATTCTTTTATTTGATAATTAGGAGGTATTGGATCTTTCCTAAATTGTAGCCATGAAATGTACATTCTCAGAGGAACCAATGTGTGTACACTGCCGCTCATGGAAGTATGGACACTTCGGCAAAGGAGGACTTTTTGACGAAAAGAAAATTTCATATTAAAAGTCCTTTAATTCGTTTTTGTTGCATTATTTATGCATAGTTCGTTAATTTTATGTTTATCAAACAAAGAACTGACCAAAAGTAGAATTATTTTGTATTAAACAATCTCTGCATTTATTTCTTCCCTTAATTCTCAAGTGTCCATACTTCCATGAGCGGCAGTGTGTGTGTATGTATTCAATTTCTTCAATTTTTCCGCTTTGATGACAGAGGAAGGAATACTTTGTTTGTGCGAAAAAATTGTTCGCTCCGTAAAAATGTCGACTTTCCGAAAAAGTGTATTTGTCATATTTCAGCAAAATTGTGTCTCTACAGAAATATATGAAATTGAATTATAGAAAAAAGAAAAGGCATAAATTTCATCCAATTTTCATTTCTCAAAAATTCTCCAATATTCGATCCAATCTTTCTTCTATAATGTTCCTCCTAAATGCTAAAAAAGTGGCAATAAATATTCAATAAAATTCATTCACCACCAAAAAGGAAAACACGTAAATTTCATCGGATATTTACTTCTCGAAAGTTCTCTCCGATGTTCAATCCAATCTTCCTACCGCTTCATTGATAAATCATCGACGCAGAAACGGAACTTCCGTTCAGGGACACGCTGAGACACTTAATTCGCCTGATTAAGACAGCATCTTAGCTCGATCGAACACTAACGATCCATTGTAATCGTTCCCCTTCGAGATGGTCCCTGAAGTGTCTAACGAAAAGGCGAATTAACGCGTGCACGCCTCGCGATCTAATCTTCGTTATTAATTACCCTCTCGGGTAATTAGACGCGCAAAGAATCGCAGCTGAAGCTCGAGGAAAAGTGTTTTTCACCGAGCAAAGCAGCGGTTTATAATGTGACACTGTTGATACAATTTTATTAAGCACACAGATTTAGATTTTTATATACACTTGTTGCGAATGTATTTGCGTGTTTTGAAATATCAGGCAATAGTTTACAAGAAAAGGCGGAAGTGGAAGGTAAGATTACTCTGTGATGCATTTTTCAATGCAAACTTTTCTTATTTATTGCTATTTCGTTGTTCCATGAATGTGGCACTGTCTTCTTGGGGATTTATTTCATCTTATTATTTATCATTTTACAATACTTTCTGAACTTTAGCGTGTGATTATGAAATTGAGTGAAATTATGGTAACATCGAAAGTATCTTATTTGAGGACAATTTTTGATTCTTAATTTGTTCAAAAAATTTTCGAAACAATCGATCGATTTTGTTGTTAATTTATTCGACAAGAACTGTATTTGTTCTGAGCATCGATATCTCGGCAAAAATCATTCTAACATCTAAGTATCTGCTAAATAAAGTGTAATTAAGTACAATTTTTCTAAAATCCTCAACATTCTTGCATTCGATTTCCTGTTCGATGTCTCCAATGTTCGATCTGATTATCAAACAATCAATTTCTACGTTCACTTCGTAAGAATTGACAATGGCCGCTGACAAAAGAGAGATGGAAAGTTCTTTCGGTAATGTACAAGTGCAGGAGTAATATTTTATCGCCTGAAACTGCTTTCTACCTCTTAACTCACGGTAAACCGATTGTTTACACAATCCGTCGGACAATTCGAAGCTCGATTTTCGTTTCGTTCCAACGAGAATTTCACTCAGGGACACGCGTTTAACAGAAGATTTCTCGAAAAAATAGGACACAATTAATCAGACCTCCTCGGAGACACCCAAATCTCGATTCACCATTTCTTGGCACACTTTCTATTTAAAAGCACCTCTCGTGATTAATTAAATTACGCTAAAATTGTAATTTGTAGTTAAATTCTTCCTCCTGACATCTCGATATTGAATCATTCTAAACGTAGTTCACCATTACCACGAACGTAATGGTTCACAAAATACTGCATGAAAAAAGAAATTTTTCACGCGGTAAAATCGAACACAGCGGACTTACGAATCCGAGAGTCGAAATTTCAACGCGTGGACGGTTTGTCGAATTTCAGTATGAATTATGTACATCGTTCTTTACTCGTCATCGACGTGTTTCAATGAAATAAATTCTCCACGACCCTGTTTCTATTTCTTTTTTTTTTTTGTTTTCCCTATTAGTTTATTGTATGTGCACGTTTAGTAATGGTGCTTCTCGTATTCGTCGTAACTATTGTAGTACGCTGGTGAAACGTACTTCGCTACAGCGATCGGTTTAGGATGAACGGCTGGTCCAACTTTTTTCACCACCGCGTTGAAACCGTTGTGATCGTCGGCGGTGTATTCGACGATTCTGACGCTTCCGTCGGGTTCGTTCACGCTGTATGATCCGTGGACCACGTCGCCATCGCGAACCTCGTGCTGGGTCTTCACGTCTCCTGTGTGGGGATCGTGGACGCCATAGTTGAAAGTGTATTTTGGGTGAGCCTGTGGTGCGAGATGGTTCGTTCTTAATTAGAAATTCGTAACAGAAAACCATACACAAGACGGGACAAAGGAGAGAAAACCTCGTAAAGTTCATCAAAACGATAGGCATACGGGACGAGATATACGCTACCGGCCAAAAGTTTGGAATCACCGAGCACTGCAATTTACACAAAAATTTCCAGAAAAAAGTCAGCGACTCTGAGAATTTTTTATCGTTCGAATCAGTTGATACGAGATAAATTGATAAATGTGGAATTGAGATAAGCTTCAAATTGATAAAAAATTAGCAGCAGATTTAATATTGATGAAAAGTGGGAGGTGATTCCAAACTTTTGGCCGGTGGTAGAGATGGACACAGCCGTCGCTAATGACCTAGCTGTCGATGCGACGTTAAAGGAGGAAATAGAAGAAGAAGATTGGGATGGAAGTGCAATTTTTTAAGTGGTGACTAGAATTGTAATATTGTAACGATAGAGTTATTGTTGAAATTCTATTGTTTGAAATTGTTGGTTGAGGTTAAGTGCAAGGTTAGAATGAAAGCGGAATTTTTTAGCGTTGATTGGAATTGCAATGTTATTGTAGTTGATAGAAATAGAAATAATATAATTATAATTGCGATTTTGTTGGGGTTTTCGTGGAATTTATTTTAATGGTGATTGGAACTGAGATATTGTCTTTGATAGAAATAGAAGTAGTAAAATTATGATTGTAAATTTACTATTCAGCACTTTTCGTTAAGAGTAATTACAAGATTATTGTGAAATTTTTTAAGGGGTGATTAGAGCGGTTACTTTGGAAAATGATACTTGAGAATTCTAAAAATTGAATCAAGGGTATTAAGTATTACACAAAATTTTGATTTACTCATTGTCGGTGAATTTCAATATGATGGTTAAATTTTTTAAGCAGCGTTTAGAGTTGCTACGTAAACTGAAGTAAACTGAAGCTATTAAATTATTTGAGTTACTTGACAATCTCAATTATAGTCGACTTTTTAAGGCAATATTCACAATAGCTGTGTTAGAGAATGGAACTTGAGAAGTT